TTCTTTCTTTCTTTCTTTCTTTCTTTCTTTCTTTCTTTCTTTCTTTCCTCTGTCTCACACACATGCATACATACACTAGTATGAATTTCCTACCAAGGCTATAAATAATAATTATTCTATATTTATGACATAGAATGCATAAGCAGTAGATTTTGTTCTATCTAATGCAGAGATAACTTGAAAATAGTTGTTAAAAGAATAAGGCTATTTGTTTATTTTAAAAGTCTTTTAACGTAAGATAAAAAGACAAATTTATGCATGTCATAATCTTCATCAGTTATTTTTAATACAACTATACAATTGTATACAGTCAATACACCAAATAATTTTAACAGAGAAGATTTAGTTGAAATACAAAGGACTGTTTTTGCTAATATGATCTATTTTTACAGAATTCTGATGGCATTATTTACCGAAGTGATTGATTGTATGTTTGTATTGGTTATTGATTGATTGATTGTTTTTTGTTAAGAATCAAATAATAGTAATATATATATATATATATATATTAAATTAAATTTACAGTGAAGTACCATAATATTTACCTTAATATAATGCAAAACAGTTTGAGAAGGTTACAGATAAAGGGGCTGGGGATAATTTCTATATATTTAAAGCATAATTTTTAAAAACTCACTCCTTTCCCCCAGAATTAGAATTCCTAGTAGGAACATTTAAGGAATTGCAACTACAGAAATTATTCCTCATTACTTAGTCTAAAGTTGAAAATATTCATTTTATTAAAATGTTTATTTTTAGTGTTTATCCAGCAGGTACAGTATATTACTATTCATTTATGCCTATTCTAATATGCCTATCGTGTTCTCTGCTCTAATTTGTAAATAAAAAGTGAATGAGATAATGTCTTTAAAAATATAAACTTATCTAACCACAAGGAAAGATTGGAAGGGAGAAAATAATGTCGGTAAGAATTTTGGGTATACAAAATCTTCTGGGGAATAAGAAAAAAATGTTACATTACTTTCAAAAAGGATAATTAAAACTGAATGAACATCACTGTCTTTTTTATGTAGGATAATGAGATACCTGACATGAAGAGAACCTTGCAGGTAGACAACCAACTTTCCATTTCATTTGGAAGACCACCAAGAATACCTCCTCGAGTTGCTAGCAGGTTATATATTGTTTTGTAATACATTTATACTGTACAAAGAATGAATTTGACAGATCTCTGTTCTACCTGGATTAATTCTAAAATAGATAATATAAAGGGATATAACGAAAGTAAAACTGATGGGAAACATGGTAGCAGAATATAGAAACCAGAACTTCACTATGTCCCTAAACCTAAATATCGATTAGGTAAACAGAGGTCTTCATGGCTCTTTTAAACAACAATTTGGGGGGCGGGAGAACCTCATTCTTGGCCAAGACCTCATTCCAGAGGGCAGATACTGCTATAGAGAAGGCATGGTTCCGGGATCCTGATAGGTGACATAGTTTAATCAAAGGAACCTAGAGTGTACCAGCCCTGCAGGACTGAATTGACCAGACAGATGCTATGGGAGGCAGATAGTCCCTCAAGTAACCAAGGTCATGTAGGTCTTTATAGATAGCAATCAACCTCTTGAATTGCACTCAGAAGCAAGCCAGGAAGCAGTCAGCTTGCAAAGTAGAAGGGTTATATGAGTACACTGAGACATGTTCATTACTGCTTGTGCTGTTGCATTTTGGATCAGTTGAATGGCCTTGAAAGGCAGCTCCATTTATAACACATTGCAGTAGTCAAGCCATGAGGTAATTAGAAATGAGTAACTATCTGAAAGGAGGGCAAATTAGATAGGGTGCAACAGGCTATCAGATGGAATTGTGCAAAGGCCTTCATGTCCACAACCAACACCTGCCCTTTAATCAAGAGCAGTGAGTCCAGAAAGAGCCCCAGAATGTATACCAAGCTTGAAGGGGGAGATGGTACCTCATCCAAGGTAAAAGATTTCCATTCCCAGAGCTAGATACCAGCAACCACTTGGTCTTGTTAGGATTAAATCAGAGACAGTTTCTCCCCATCCAAACCTGCACAGCCTCTCGGCATTAGGACAAAACCTTGACAACCTTACATGGCTGGTCTGGGGTTGAAAGATATAGCTGAGCATCATCAGCATTTTCAGGGTATAGAATCCTAAACTTAATGGTTTCATGTAGATACTGAAAAGGAGGGAAGGCACACCCACACAATAGGGGCATAGGAAATGACACCTCCCCCATCTCTAACCAACACCATCCTGAACCGGCTTTGGAGGAAGAGAACCAATCCCAATCCCCATCCTTCCAAGCTGGTTTAGAAGGATACTTTAGTTGACAGTATTGGAAGCCACTGAGAAATCAAGCAGCTCAAGGATGGATGCAACACTGCAATCCCAGGTGTGTCACAGGTATTTCATAAGCATAACCAATGTTGTTGCAGTGCTGCCATGCTAAATCCCAATCTGAAAATGGATTGCATGAGATCTAGATAATCTATTTCTTCCACAGTTCTCAATTGCTATAAACCAACCATCTTCTTATGAACCTTCCCCAAAAAACAAAGATTGGAGACTGGACTTTAGTTGTCCAAAATCATTAGAATCTAGCCCTTTTGGCAGAAATTCTGTGGGCAGATTAGAATAAGGTGCTATTTTGTAATGAATGTACAAATTATATATATTTGATTAATATAAAGATTACAGAATCAGAAAAACATTTGCAGATTTGGAGACCCAATTCCTTGTTTATTTAAGGACTATAACTAGTCCTTGACTTATGACCATAATTGAGCCCAAAATTTATGTTGCTAAGTGAGACAGTTAAGTGAGTTTCTTCCCATTTTATGACTTTTTTAGCCACAGTCATTAAGCAAATCACTCCAGTTATTAAGTTAGTTACACGATAGTTAAGTGAATTTGACTTCCCTATTGGCTTTGCTTATTAGAAGATTGCAAAAGATGATCACATGACCCTGGGACACTGCAACCATCATAAATATGAATTTTGATCACATGAGGATGCTGCAATGGTTGTAAGTGTAACAAATGTCACTAAATAAATTGCAAGTTGAGCATTACCTGTATATTACCTGATTAATTTAATAGAGTTAGAAATTGCTAGTATTGTAATGGGATGTCAATGAATAACTCCACATGAAAGAACAATAATATAATGCTTTTCTATTGTAAATGTTATTGTATATCAACTTAAAAAACCCTACATTTCAAAGTATTTAATTGCTTTTTAAAATAAATGTGTAAGTGTAATAGGTTATGTAACATAATAAACTATTCTTATGCTATTTTCAAATATTTATTTGCAGATTGTCAAACACTGACAACTTCCATCCACCACCTGTGCCTCCAAGAGGTCGTGATAAGTTACACTAAATCTTTTGGATATTAAAAACTGAAACATGAGAAAGCAGAACTTTTATTCTTCAAAAAGACTTTTGAATGGTTATGCTGTAACTCTAATCAGCATATCAGTTCACCCCTTGTAAATCTCAAATGAATAATTTTGGTCAAATTTACTCTAAAAATTGAATCAACAAAAATTCAGCATTTAGAACAAATAAACTATTAGAACATGAAAAAATATGCTGAACTTATTAGAATTCTTAGATTCTAATTACACCAGACTAAAGGTATCTCAATCATTTCTCACATATTTTAAAACTTCAGAAAGGAGTAGCTACCAGCAGATATTTTTTGTCTGTTTATCTACAAATAAAGTAGCCAGTGATGATGCTCTGAAAATATTTACTCATTGTAGATAACTATATTTTCACAATATAGTGAATCTAGAGTGCCTTGTATTGTACAGTGCAATTCATTTGAAATTTGTCTAATTTCTTAATGATTTTATTATAATTTCATATTCACAATTGTCTAATTGATGCCTCTGGTTATTGTTCCAGTAATACTATACTGAGAAATTGGGGAGGATTTTTCTCTTCAGATTGTATAGCTTAAATCAAAGAGTCTCTATATGAGTCATCAATATGAGTCTTGAATCTGTATTATTTCTGTGAGAATATGCCAAGAAGTACTTAGCAGACCATGAATATAAAGAAACTTGGTTTTTATTTTTGAACTTCAATAAAATTTGTGCACCAATCTCAACTGACAGGGATCACATCATTACTAGAAGAGATTCTTGTTCCCATTGTAAACAGACTGTATCCAAAAAGGCAGCTAGCCCTGTCGGTTTGTGAGAAAGTGTAATAACCCAGCATGAGATGGAGTTAACTTAACAAGGTGGAGCAGCTGCGAGACCCTATTTGCATTCAGTTTCAGGTCATCCTTGAGATGTCAGTTGGGACCAGAATTTCATTTCTAAGTGATACAATCATAACACGTGACATCACTAGACAACATTGCTTAGCAATAGAAATTCTGGCACTTCCAATTGCCATCATTAAGCAAATCATCATGCATAGGATTGAAATTCTAAAGACAGTTTCCTTTTTTCAGAATTTTCATTTTCTGTCTTTAAAAAATAAAGAAATACATTCGAAAGCTCATTAATGTGACATGCAGGTGTCATCAAGTTATTTCCAATTTAGTACATTCAATAGAGAGGTGAAAAATGTACTCTTTACATACGTATATCCAACGGCTATTTTAACTGAAGCACAGATTATATTGTTACAGAGCAATTTTCAGGGACAACTAGCAAGGACTGGCCTTTGCAATATCTCAACTTATTTAAAGATAGCGGAGAGAGTTTCTAGGAAGGTTGCTTTGTGGAAAATGTGTTGAAGTCATACAGATTTTAGGGGACGGTACATTCCACATGGATAGGCAACTATTAAAAAGTTTTGTTTCTAGGTTCATTCACACTTTTTCTCTTGCATGACTAACTTTTAAGACACTTGGCAACCTGTTTGCACTTATGATTGGTTGCCAAGCACCGCATTATCATGTGACTGCTATTTGCCAGCTTCTCCGTGGGTTTCCTCAGAAGGTGGAAGCCAACAGGGAAGATTGTAAGTTGCTGCTACCTGCCAATAGGACTCCCTCTCATCTTGGGAGGGCTAGCTGAAAGACCTGCCAACTAAATGGAGCTCAAACCCTCTGTTGGGCTTCAGAAATAGGGCTTAGTTCCTGAAGACCTGAGCCCTGTTTCGGCAGCCTGACAGAGACATTCTTTTCCACACACATAGGAAAGAAAGCTCAGCCTCTACTAGGCTGCAGAGACATAGCTTAGATGCCAAAGATCCAAGCCCCGTTTCTGCAGCTCAGTGGAGGAGCTGACCTCTACTTGTAGTTTTCTAGCCTTCAGAACATTTATGTTCACTAGCTGTCTACCTTTCCTAGGCTAGGAAGATTAGTGAATTCAAATTGTGTGATTGAGCCTTCCATTTGCAAGAATGTTGCCCACTGCCGAATGGCACAAGATGGCTTTGGTAGGAAGGCCAATCACACATCAGCTGGGCACACTTGCAGCTAAGAAAAAGGCAAAGGTAATGGACCTGGGCTTGGTTGGGGTGGGGAGAGAGCCTGGGTCATCTGGATGTGCTGGGCCACAGAGAGCCCCTCTCCCTGATGCTCTGCTTAATGACCTGAACAATCGCTTGGCAAGTGCAGCTGAGAGAGCCGGAATTGTGGTCACTGAATGAGTGGTCATATGGCTGTCTGCTTGATGACCACTTTGCTCAATGACTGAGATTCTAGTTCCCATTGTGGTCATAAATCAAGGGCTACTTGTAGACTGCATTGTAGTAATTTGACTTAGAAATAACAAAGCTAGTCCGTTGTTGAAGCCTTGATTCTTAAGAGACAGAACTGGCAGGAGAACTCCCAAACCATGAATACCTATTGTTTATTTCAAATACTTTTTAAAAAAAGATGATTTAATTAATAATGTTATTAATTTATACTTTTCTGTTGATTTTTGTAAGAACATGTGCTATTGTTTTACTTGTTAGATAATGTTTCAGCTGTAGTTTTTGTAAGAAATGTACATGATTATACTTAATTTGTTAGTTCACTATGCATATAAATTCATTATCCACTGATACTTTTCAAATATTGTATGTGCACAAATCTATCAGTAGGTAGACATTTTAATCAATCTGCTGTTTGTTATGTGGTTGTACCACTGCTACATAATTCTGTTCAAGTGTAGACAAAAGCTTGGTTCAGGTGTTCTGAACTCTTCAGCTTTTACCAGTGTACTATGGTTTAATCCTATGCCTTGCCGACAAATGACATGCTTCTCAAATTTATATGTCAAGAAGTTGAAATATCTATTTTATTTCAATTTATTTTTATCTACAGTGCATAAAAACTGTTTCTAAAGTTTTTAGCATGTCCCTGAGGATAACCTGTGTGTTAAAAAACAATACAAAACAATTTGCAACCATCTCTTTTTAAATTAGGTTTAGACTCAATTTCAACCAGTGTACTCACTCTGCAAAAGCAATCTTGTAAAGTTTATTAAGGCAATGGAGACACATGAAAAAACTTCCGTTGTGTTGTATTTTCAGAACCTTGCTAGTAAGGTCTTACAAAAATTGGACTGTCTTACAAAAACATTTTCATATTCCCTGAAAATACCAGGAGCATCATGATTATGAAAATAAAATGAGAGAATTTTCCTGTACCCTATGCCTTGAACCCTTGAGATAAATCTAAATAAATATCAAGGCTCCGACTAACGAACCCAAGCAAATCAGAACTCTGAGACTTAGCCCTTTCTCAAAGGTCTTCTTTTATGAGTACATCATATTGGCACAGCTTCAATGGAAAACCAAATATAAATCTTTCCTGTGGTTTCGTATAATTAAATTAGGAAATAACTCCATCCCCAAGTGTCACAAGTCACGTTGGCCAATTTGGCGGGCTCTTCAGGCACTCCTTCCCCAACCTTATTTGTTGCCAATAGAGATGATCTTGGTTCTCAGGAGAAAATTCTTTAATTGTGTCTAGTGATGCATTCCAATCTCCTTCTCCCCCCCCCTCCCCCGTGGCAACTGAGGAACAGAAAGATGGCTGTGGCCAGATTCAGTTCAAAGTTGACATCCAGGATGATTATTTTACCATGTATTCAAACTATATACATATGCAAAAGCTCCTTGTTTAAAAATACAAATGTAAAGATATTGGGAAAATATGGAGGTTTTAAATAAGTATGTCATTTTTAATATGACTTCTATATTTTTAATGAATACAGTATTACTTTTAGTTTTACTTTATTGTCATTGCACCTTGTACAATGAAATTAAATGCCATCTTCAGTGTACATTATAACTATAAAAATAAAACAGAAATACACATCCTTCACATTCTATACAATTGAATTGAAAACCCCTGATATTGCATTAATGTTGCACTATACAGTAGAATTCAATATAGTTACTGCCCTGGGATAGAAGCTGTTTTTCAGCCTATTTATCCTTGTTTTTCTTATCCTGTACCATCTGCCAGATGATAATAGTTTTAAAAAAAAGGGTGCCCAGGATGAGATGAATCTTTAAGAATGTTTTGAACTTTCTTAAGGCAGTGGGAGCTACAAAGCTCTTCCAAAGAGGAGAGAGGGCAACCAATGATCTTCTGGACATTGATGTTAACCCTCTGGAGTGCTGTTCTATCTGCCACTGACAAACCATACATAGGTGCAGTAAGTTAAAATACTCTGGTGCAGTGGTAGAAAGTCACCAGCAGTTTTTCATTCAGTGGTTGTTTCCTGAGCAGTCTCAGGTAGGATAATCTCTGCTGGGCCCTTTTGACCCAATGTGAGCGCCCCAGGTCAGGTCCTCTTTTATGATAACACCCAGAAATTTAAAACTGGCCACTTGCTCCACTCCATTGATAAACAAGGGCTGGATATCTGATCTATTCCTTCTATAGTCCACCTTAAGCTCCTTGGTCTTATTGGTGTTATTGTCTCCACACCACAAAAGCAACCGGTCCACCTCATCTTGATAGGCAGACCCACCCCTCAGGAGATGAGTCCCACCAATGTTGTATTATCTGCAAATTCAATAATAATAATACTGCCATGAGTGAAAATGCAGTCATGCATATAAGGTGTATAGGGTAAAGGACTCAACACACAACCCTGTAGTGTACCAGTGTTAAGAATAAGGGCTGAAGAGATATTACCTAATCTGACCCTCTGAGAGCTGCCAGTCCAGAAATCCATAATCCAAAGGCATATCGAATAAGAAAGCCCAAGACTAGTCTATATAGAAGAATTGTGTTAAATGCAGAGCTAAAATCTAACAAAAAGCATCCCCACATTGCCCCCCCACCATTCCAAATGAGTCAGAACAGTGTGAAGAGTGATGGCTATAGCAATGATAGTGAACGTTTTAGGGACCAAGTGCCCAAACTGTAATCCAAAACCCACTTATTTATATCGCAAAGTGCCAACACAGCAATTTAACCTGAATACTGAAGTTTTACTCCAGTGGTGAGATTCAAATAATTTAACAATCGGTTCTTCCTAATGACTGGGTAGACATGGTTGCGGGGGGGGGGGGTCATGCCAACTCTGTCACTCATGTGGGTGGTGCCTGTATGAGACAGGCAGGGTTGGGGAGGGAATCCAGGGGTCTCTGGTGGGTGGGGCAGAAGGAAAGAAAAAAAGATCCAACTTTCTCTCTCTGTGTCTCTTTCTGTGTGTGTGTGCGTGTGCGTGTGTGTGTGTGTGAGAGAGAGAGAGAGAGAGAGAGAGAGAGAGAATGGCCACCAGCCCTGATATAACTTTCAGATGTCTCTCTCTCTCTCACACACACACACACACACATTCTCTCATTCTTTATTCATTCTCTCATTCTCATTCATTCATTCATTCTCATTCTTCCCTCTCATTCTCTCATTCATCATTCTCTCTCATTCTCCTTTCTCATTCCCTCTCGTTTATCATTCATTTCCTCTCATTCTCTCATTCATTTTCTCTCTCCTCTCTCTCATTCTCTCCCTCTCATTCTCTCTCTCTCTCCTCTCTCTCTCATTTATTCTCTGTCATTCTCTCATTCATTCTGTCATTCTCTCTCTCTTATTCTCATTCTCTTATTCTCTCTCTCTCTCTCATTCTCTCTCTCTCTCTCTCTCCCTCCCTGCTTTAGGCAGGCTTAGAAAGTCTGCCAGGCCCGGCATGCTGTGGATGCCCCTCGCTCACCCCTTTGCCTGGCTTCCCTCCTCCACAGAGGGAGGAGGGGTGCCGTTTGGGCTAGCATTCAGGGGAGAGTGCCACACAGAAACAGGAACACACAGAAACGCCGTCCCCTCCTCTCTCTCTGTCTCTGTTGCTGGGCAATCCCATGTGAAGAAGAGTGTGAGGTTGCAACTTCTCTTCTTCTCACAGCCAGCTTTCCCAGTCTAGTTTGATGCAGGCTTCCTCCCCAAGCCCCCATCTGTTCCCCCCCTCCCCTCGTAAACTGGACAAAGCTAGGCAAAAAGCCAGCCCTCACCAGTGCCCAGC